AGAGTTGTAACAGAGCTGTAACTGAGTTGTAACAGAGCTGTAACTGAGCTGTAACAGAGTTGTAACAGAGTCATAACAGATATGTAACAAAGTTGTTACAGAGCTGTAACTGAGTTGTAACAGAGCTGTAACAGAGTCATAACAGATATGTAACAAAGTTGTTACAGAGCTGTAACTGAGTTGTAACAGAGCTGTAACTGAGCTGTAACAGAGTTGTAACAGAGTCATAACAGAGTTGTAACAGAGCTGTAACAGAGTTGTAACAGAGTTGTAACAGAACTGTAACTGAGTTGTAACAGAGCTGTAACAGAGTCATAACAGAGTTGTAACAGAGCTGTAACAGAGTTGCAACAGAGTTGTAACAGAACTGAAACAGATGTAATGACATATGGTTGCTGTGTTAATCTGGACACAGAATTTAAAAGTCTAAACACCAAGAAAGAGATTCATTTTCAAGACAAGTGATGATCATGTACAACAACTTTGCATTTAGGGATTTAGTTTCAGTCAGATGTAGCTTAAAGAAAACTGGTCTTTGCTGCCATTTTGAAGAACTGTTTTGTGCCTTTGACTCACATCAAACTAAACTACAAATGCTTCCAGACCAATTCCAAAAAACTGCAACACCTTTGTGACTATTTTATGAGTAAATATGTCTTGTAAACATTTCAAATATGTTTGTTCGTTGCATTATTTGGTTGAGAAACCTGCAACAAACTAAACAAACAGTGTCATACAAGACAGCAGACATTGCAGGTGGATCATGAACCAGGCAGAGGCCTTAAATTAGCACTAGGTTACTGTACTAAAAATGTTAAGCTGATGGCTGAAGCGTTTATCAAAATCACGTCAAATGAACATTAAAGTACCGCAAGGAAACTCCTGGAGTTAAATATAAATGTTGGAACGTTTGTATCTATTTTACCAGAAGCTGCATGTAATATTTTGCACAATGTCCATGGACAGAACTCAATGTCTATGACTGTGCACTGTAACCAAATACATGTTAGGTTAAACATCACTTCAAAGCTGACTGGACTTTTCCCTTAAAAACATTTCTATTTGATTTACACAGTGTCCATGGGTAATTTACAAATTATGATCTATACAGGACTTTTTGTACACTGAGATGAAGAAGCTTTGMTTGAATAGATTGAATATGTTGTTGTGTAAACTAATATTTCTGTCCTGTGACAGTAGTTTTTACTCTGTGCTGTTTGTGTGCAGGCAGCAGACTTGATGTGTGCTCTCTGAGTGAATAAGAGCAGAAATGCTGGGCCCTGCTCATTTTATAGCTCTTTTTTTTTCCTCTCTCCTCCTCTCTCTGTCTTTCTACCCGTTGAGTCGAGGCGGGAGTTTACAGGAACAGCAGGCAGGCCGAGCCTCGTCACWCCGCGGAGCGACACAGGAATGTATTGTATGCGTTGGATAGACAGGGCAGCTGGGACGAAATAGTGCGCCAAGTTCCCTAAGCTGACCCTGTGAACGTTGTAACGCGTTACATCCACTGTCTGGTGTAAGGGATGTTCAAATTAAATATTGCAGTTTGCTTTATTTGTGAGCCGTAGTGGGTAGAAACTTTACTGCGTTGGGGCTGTAAAACAACAGTCACACACACGCACACACAAGTAAGGCGCGGAAGGATGCTGAAGGTTGGCAGTGAGTGCTGCGGCGCTGAAAGCACACACAGTAAATTGAGGCCTCGGCTGCGCGCAAAACACGAACTGGATATTGATTTTAATCAGGAGAAAAACACAGTTTTAAAGTAGAAAAATAAAGAAATGGCGTGCAACAGAGGTGTATATTATCTTATWTACATATTTTACTAAATATGACAATAACATGGCTCACAGAGTCATACAGTTTTGTTTCTGCAGCTGCTGTTTGTTAATGAAGTGCCTCAATGATGGAGSCAACGGTTGCTGGACTCTGACCTCTATCTACAATCTGGAGCTCAACTGAGACTGCACATACACGGGCAAAGGAACTGGTTATACTGGTGAGCTGACAACTGGGATACATATATATAT